CGCAATAGACATAAACGATTAATAACGAAAAAAAAAATATATAGTAGTATAAGAGATAGACTAACCAGAATCTGGCCGGTACTGAATGGAAAAAGAAAGGAAAAAACAAATGCAGCACATGACAATTGAACGTGTGGCACGCGACTCGGAAACATATGGGTTTATAAGTGCAAGAACAAATTGGAGTTGGCACACACGTGACCCTGTTCTGTTATTGCTACGCGATTCCGACACGGATTCGCGTGGTGACAGATGCGCTCAACCTGTTTAACGTTTCGTATTGAGATAGTATAGCTATAAGACTATAATAAATCTCTACACCTTTTCACTGACGGAGTGAAAAGATATAATAAACGAGTTTGCTGCTTCAGGTTTTTAAATTATGATTGAACGTTCTTTCTAACCACAGCAAATGTAAGACTTTTTTAATCAAATAAATGGTTTTAAAACTTAAACAAAATTTAGTGAACATTTCTGCGTATCACATGTTAATTTGGAAATTTTCGGGTCCGCGGTTTTTCTTTTATCGTGAGTTAAAAAGTACCCGATTTTTCAAATTATGGAAAAAATAGTCCTGGTGTGTGTTCCAGAGAGAGGACGTCGCGCCTTATTTCTTTATGTACGTAAAAAAAAGACGCGACGTACTGTCTGGGACGCACCATCTGTTCCGATTGGACGAAACCCTCCTCTCCCTGCATACCTTATTTCTGTTTCTTTTTAATATGTAAATCCATTAAATCTCCCTTAAAAAATTAGGGAGTCCTAATTTTACTCTAATACTAATGATTTGACCTCCAGAGTCAGAGCAAGTAGGAACTACCGAATACGCCAATCGCAGATCGATCATATTTGGCAATATCGTCCAATTACCTCAGAGAGATCTCGGAATGCTCTGGAGCACTCTAGAGCAATGAGAGGGAAACGCTATTGAATATGTTATACTTTGAATCTTGATATGGATTTTGCTACAGCACGGTTTACGACTTAATCTAATTTTTTCCAAAACTACTAGTATTCTTATCAAAATTTCAACTTCAATTCTTTATGTATCATTAAAGATTAAATAGTTTTCTTCTTATTTGTTTTTGTTATCTCAATGTATCAATGTGTTGTATATTATATGTGGCAATCTTTCATTTCTCTTAGATTATTATTCATTGAAAAATTTAATAAACATTAATTGTTGGGATCGTATTTTAGAGGAAATCTATAATCAAGATAGGATACTCCTTAAGGGAAGCTGGGACTACATCCGTTGGTTTTTATATGGTTCTTATAGTGTCATAAAGTAGAGTCTCTTATCATGAATTCAAGAGATATAAACTGTCTCTTAACTCCTAGAAATAAAGATCTTTAAAAAGAATTTATTTGATACTTTTTTTGATCGCTTGTTGAGTAATACATTATCCTGTTATAAAGTAGAAATATCGGTTGATTCGGACACTTTTAAAATTAATTAATTATATATGAAAATTTATTTACTAACAAATGGAAAATAACCAGATGAAACGAATTACGTATCAAAAACGACAAACGGATTAATTTCACTAAAGCTAACATAATTTCGTGAATTCGTCGATTAATGAACAATTTAAAAACATTTTCATGTTTGCATACAGAAATGAACATTAGGAATATTTATATTACTATTTTAATACATTTAATTCAGTTTTTGAGATATTAATTTTTGATTGAAATCAAAACTTGAAATTTATACGCGATAGATTTGCTACTACATTGGGATGTCCTTTGATAAATATCCAACGTAAATTGAGCAATGAAATGTAAATTATGTGTGTATGGCGTGTTGCGTGATGCAGGATTAAGAGAGCAGATGATAATCATTGGCGATGAGTGTAAAGCAAATCTTTGAACGAAACAGGATTAACGTACGCTTGGGTGAATTAGAAAGTGACATGCGACGCAATAATGTTCGTAAATAATTACAAAGCAATTTTGATAAACAATTAATTTCGACATCCTCGTGTAGCAGCTATTTGTTTGTAAATTAACCTTCCAAATATTTTGGATAGAGTTTGAACTGCACTAATAGATCGATAATTATTACAAAGGCTTTCACTGACGGTGTTAATTGAACTAAAATTAGAACTAACACTAGACCTAAAAACGTACTACTATTCGTGCAAAAAATCGTTTATTGTAATTAGTGAACAATTCTGCATATCACATGTTAATTTGGAAATTTTCGGGTCCGCGGTTTTTCTTTTATCGTGAGTTAAAAAGTACCCGATTTTTCAAATTATGGAAAAGATAGTCCTGGTGTGTGTTCCAGAGACAGGACGTCGCGCCTTATTTTTTTATGTAGGTAAAAAAAAGACGCGACGTACTGTCTGGGACGCACCATCTGTTTTGATTGGACGAAACCCTCCTCTCCCCGCATAGCTTATTTCTGTTTCTTTTTAATATGTAAATCCATTAAATCTCCCTTAAAAAATTAGGGAGTACTAATTTTGCCATTATTTGATATATTTTGGTAAAAACCGTTAGTTCCGATAGTAGTGTTAGTTCCAGTGATTGAGTTAGTGTTAGTTCTACTTTTAGTTCAAAAGACAAAGAAATATTTATGAATCTGATCATAAAATTTCTTAAAATTAAAAAGTTTTTTATCTCGACTTATTTTAATAGTTTTAAACTTATTTTAAGTCATTATTATTTTATCCTTCAACTTTATACGTAACACGTATAAGACCTCAAACCCCAACGTTCGAGCCAATTAATAATTTATTACAGTTTCTAAAACGTGCTCGCCACCCTGAGAGTATCCTAAACGTGGCCGTAGCAGAGAAGAGAGGTCTCGGGAACCATACGTTTCTCAAACATCAAGGCGCGAAATAATTAATATTACTTAACGTTCACAACATCAACATAAGTGCATCAACAGCAGAGCACAGTCGTGGATCGAGTTTGGCAAACGTGTGCTCGAGACCGGCTGTATTTGCCCATCTTATCTACGTTGAGCCACTATCGCTACAACGAGACACATCTAAATTCAAATATTGTAGTGATTCCGTCTTTGTCTGACTCGTGGGTATCTTTGTTTGCTCGCAAACACACAAACTTATTACTGGGACAAATCTTGAGGTGTTTATTCAAGGTAAAGAGTAGAACCGAGCGTCTTATTTCGCCGCTCAAAGATTAAATCCTGAGGCAAATCCCGTAAATTTTTAATTCCAAAGTTTTCAAGGAAAAATCGGAGCACCTGCGTTAAGATGTTTGTGGTAAACCGCCCAACTTCCACCCAGTAATTGATAACCCCTTAAAGAATTGCTACCACTCTTGAAAATATATAGGATGTTGTAATTTTATTTTCAAGGGCTGCTTAAACATCTTAAAAAAAAGTTATTAACGTAAAAATGTCTTAACAAAAGTTGCATAATAAGAGAAATATTATTGTTAAAAGTTTTTTGATTTAATTGATTGATTTGATTCAACAAACATAAAACTATTGCTATCTCGTAGCTGTTAATTCAGCTAAACAAAAACATCTTTTTTATTGCTACTGCATTGTTGGTTTGACATAAATTTTCCGAATAATTCTTAATAAGGAAAGCAAAAATGGACTTTCGACAATTTATTGGCCCCTTTGTGTTGCCAAATCGATTGACTGGAAACGATTATCGTTTTTTGCAAACTAAGTTGACAGAACTATTGGAAAAAGTTTCTTTGAATGTGCGTCAACAAATGTGGTTTCTTCAAAGGTTGAGACAGCTGCGGAGAGAATACGAAAGGAAAGCCAAGGCCTAGTAAATTATGCCAATTCATGGATACGTTGAGCAACTCTTTGCATGTTGAATGCACACGGAGATAACTTTGAACAATTAGTGTTCAAATGGTTAAAAAATGCTTAAAAATAAATAAAGACAACTTATTATGCAATTTTTGTTAAAACATTTTTATGTTAATAACCTTCTTTTGAGATGTTTAAGCACCCTTTGAAAATAAAATCACAAGACCGTAAACACCCTGTATACACGATAAATCCCATCCGGTTACAATATGACGTTATTGCGTAAAAAAACAGGTTTTTTCTTTATCTGTGGACTCGCGTTGATATAGAAATTGGGCAACGATGACGTTATCTTTTGTATACACAACTACTTTCGATAAGATAAATTTGTTAATTTGCGAGAGTTTTACTGATGTTTAAAATATACAACTTTGCGATGAATAATAACTAGAACTAGCACTATTACTAGAAGTAATCCTAGACTTAGAAGTACAAACATTCGGGTTTAGTCACCTTGAGATGCAAGGCTAAACCTAAATGTTTCTATTTCTAAGTCTAGGATTACTTCTAGTTTTACACTAGCACTGTTGCTATGTAGAACTTACATTATACCTAGAACTAGAATCATTTGGGTTTGGCCGCATGTCTCTAAAGACAGCTAAATCTGAATGATTCTAGTTCTAGGTATAGTGTTAGTTCTAGTTTTGCACTGTCACTAGAACTAACATTAGACCTAGAACTAGAAACATTTGGATTTAGCCGCACGTCTCTTAAGACGGCTAAACCCAAATGATTCTAGTTCTTGGTCTAGTGCTGTATAACAATTAAAACTAGAACTAACACTAGACCTAGAACTAGTGTTAGTTCTAGTTTTAGTTCAATAAAATTATGGAAAATAGTGATATTTTATGCTAATTAATCTAGAGTTAGTTCTAGTTTTAGTTAGTCTAGAAGAACAACTAATTTTCTTACACGAACCAAACGCGATCGCAAACTGTAGATCTAATCAAAACTAGTAATTAGTTGTTACACGTGAGCTCAAAGCAAACGAGGGAATACCAGTCCGTTGGGATTAATTCTCCCGGAAAGTACAGGTATATGGATTTCCACACGTATTATCTTCCCCTTAATAGGAAACTCTAATTATTAATTGTGTCAAAGAAGAAATCATCTGTTAATGTTTTGAAAAGATGTAAAAATAACATCATAAAAGAAAGTGTTTAGCCACGTGATTTTAAAATATTTGACTTACGTGTGATTTGATACCACAGGATTTGTACCAGAATGTGGTTTGTTGTATGGTCTAACCCTGTTGGCGTTGTTATCAAGAAGAGATGACTGCGGACTGCTTTGATTAGATCCGCCGGGAGACAGTTTGCCTGCCAATGTGTCCAAAGAATGCAACATGACTTGTTCGGAGTGCCGTTTGGGCCACGACTGGTGAGATCGTCTCACCTGAGGTACCTTTTCCCCCGGAGATAAGATAACCGCAAGCGATAATACACCTGTTATCTATACTGTAGAACACACATCACTTTATTTTTAACATTACTTTTCATATTCGACAAATTATTACTGATACATTTAAAGAAACCTTTCTTGATAGTTTATGTCCTCAACTTGTTCTTCTTACGATGACAAAAACACCGAATGGGTCAACCCATCATTTAAGTACATCACCGTTAATTCGTTTTTGTTTTCAAATCGAACACGTTTGGAAATAATTTAAAACAAATTGCTTCAAAAACAATACACTACAGCTTTTTGATTGTAATGAACAAATTATTATTTATGGATGGAATGGCACAGGCGAAGTTTCTTTTTAATCGAAATTCGCGGTATTAGTTTATAATTTTGTTGTGATTGCACCTTTTGTTAGTTGATTCTAATACAGCTTACAACTTCTGTTTGTGTTTATGTTTGTAGCTACGAAAACAAAACATGTAGCGCCTGGAAGAGCACAGATAAATTAGTTATAAAGCTCAAAGAATTTACATAACAGCATAATTGCACTACAATCTCGTAAAAAATAAATAAATCATCACGTGAGCCCTTTGAACTTGATTATTAATAAGGGACCTACCTTAATTTTATTAATCAAGTATTAAATTAAAGTTGATGTAGTTATCAAATAAAAAAATATTGTTGAATTAGCAAGTTAGAAAACGAGTAGAGATTATAGCGCAATGTAGCACACGAAAGCGAGCTTTACGTTCATTTTTTTTTAAAAGACAGATCGAGACGGGAGCAGGACATAGAGCACACTGGACACTGAGTAAAAAAAAACGAGTTTGGCGACGAGCAATACCATACGAACTATAAAATGAAAAATACAAGAAGCGAGGCCCTGTCGAAATTGCGACCGCAACGGAAGTTTATCGCAGGGGCAAGCGAGTGACTTTGAGACATTTCTGTTGGCCCGAACTGCAATAATCACTATCGGTGGGGTCGTCACGACGTTCGCGGTCAATCGCTTTCCGATCGTTAACAATAATGGGAATTATATTGGTTATTTTTGCATTAAATTTTTTTTTGTTTGAGGTCCGGTGGCTGAGTCCCGACCCCGTCGCGTTCCTGTATCGGCGGCGAACCCGCCGGGACGTACCCGGCGAACGAACCGACGGTCCAAACGTCACTGACTGCTTGCCGGCCGGTCACTAAGGGCCAAAGGCGCCGCGACGCTTAGCGCACGCGTCGACCGACGCTAGACGTCGGCCTGTCGACGGTATATCGCGCGTATTCTTGTCGCGGGAACCGACTGGAAAAGACGCCCATTCACGATCTCCAACTAAACCCTAACAATACGAAATAACCATTTTAATAACAAATCATTCTATAATTTTTTAAAAATACGGCTACATTAATCATTTGATTTAACACAAAAACATGAATCCAAACAAAATTTTCTTTTATACACAAAAACACCTTTCTTTTCTAGAATTTCCATAATCAGTAAATAGCGACACGATCTACAAGTTTCCTCAATGATATCTTGCACGCGAGCGAATCATTTTTTAGGAGGGTGTTGAAAACAAACCTTATTTTCCATTATTCAATTTTCTTTAGTTTCTTCAACAAATCCTCTTCGTTATAACCATAAATCTATGGGAAATCGGCTAGCACGTTACCGCGAACTTCGAGAAACGGGCGGAAATCTATCCCGGAGCTTTCAGTTCAAGCTTTCAGAGTGCAAAGCACACTACACTGCGTTCTACTGAGCGCCGTCTGGAGAGCACCAGGTGATTTATCGCTTGTTTACTGTGACACGCTGCTCGACTAAGGCGGGAAACGTCAATCCTTGTGGAAAATCGAGATAATTTTTCTACTTTTTAATCTACTTTATTTTCTTTTATCCCGATCGATTTTCCAACTAATCGAGCCGTTTATTTACGTATTCCCTACCGGCGTCGGCGATCATAATAGCCGCTGTAAATAGTGCTATTATTCCCATTGCGATTGGTAAAGGCGATGCATCGGGACCAAATTTTTCTTTTTCGTATATAACAAAACAAAACGATCCAGAAATTACATTAAAAATTGCCCCGAAGAATAACATAAATAGCTGAACGACCCGGGGACATGAACCTAATAAGGCTGCAATTCCCAACACCACTTCAACAAGAAAGAACGTCATACATGCAACTGCTACAATATCTCTAAGATAGTAGATATTTTCTTTATCGATTGGAATACTTCCTGGCACGTAGATAAATATACAGTTTGCAGCACAGAATATCTAAAATAAGGATTATAAATATTATAAAATATGTGGATATCTTTTATATTCGCACCATTCCGGCTATCTTAAAGCAGAAGCACGAACTTCTAACACCCGTCGTTGCCATTTTTGAGTACTGATATCATAATGACACATGAGAAATAAGTGTCATAACAACCATACAAATGTATTATAAATCATATTACCCATAGAAAAATTTATATATATATACCCTACTATATACCCTACTATTTTTTGGTACATTCAGCGCTCCCAAGGGGATTGTGAGGGAACTAATTAGGTTAAAGCGCGAAATTTAAATATAGGTATTTCTATACCGGTTTATACCAATACTTTATTTTAAAGAGGTCAAGTACATTTTACAAATAAATGCAAAAAAATATGAATTTATAGTTTTTCCAAGATAAAATTCATAATTTTAAATATAATATATATTGCTCTCATTTAAGAGCGCCAATTTATCTATCGGATAAACTTATGAAGAGGTGGTAAAAGTGGCCCTAACTTATTTAAACACTTAACTAAAGGATATAAAACACTAAGCCAAAGGAAAGTAAGGAAGAATATTTACTTATACAAAGGTGTTATCACCAGTTAGTGAGTTTGACGTTACATATACATTTTTCTATGGCTACAAGCGCTTTGTTTGTGTAGATAATGCAGATTGCTACAAATTCAGTCTACAACGTTATCCAGTGGATTGTGAGGGTACTAAAACCTGTGTCTACATTTTTATAGTAGTAAGATTGCACACCATGATATTACCATATTATCAAATAACATGGTGGTGGTGTCCACGTAAACTTTGATTTCAACGGTTTCACTCAGTTAAGTACTTGAGCAGCTGCTTCTACTTAGCAGATGCTTTTCTCCTTCGGAACCACCTATGCGAAGTTAGCCCCCCTTTTTTCTAGCCCTTAATTAAATACGATTTTACATGTATAGTATTTTGATTATAACAAGAGAACCACTCAACCGATTTTTATAAACAATACCTCATTCGAAAGCTTAATCCTTAGCCAATACGAAAGTGGAACTGCCCGATTCGAAATCTCTTTCGAATTCCGCTAAAACACCAAAATATAGCGAATGTACACGAAAGTAACATAAACATGACCTTTTTAAGTAGCCACATAACTCGTAAACGCTGTAACCGATTATCAAGATTTATACGTCGTTGGATTCGTCATAGTTTCTTCTATTGCTCTTGCTGTATACTATGTTATAGATTTGAAGGCGGCTTTTGATAAGGTGGATAGGGGAAAGTTGTGGGAGAAGATGGGGAGGAGGGGGCTCGGCTAATTGCGAGAGTGAAGGAAATATGTGTACATGGAGACTATGACTAGGATAAAAGTGGGAGATAAGCTGAGCGACGTGTTTTGGACGACGAAGGGACTGAGGCAGGGATGTCCGCTGAGCCCAAGTCTGTTTGCACTGTATACGGCGGACCTGGAGGATAGATGGGGGAAGGGGCAAATGGGAGGGTTGGTGGTGGGAGGTAGAAAGGTGCATATGTTAGCATACGCGGATGACATCGTGGTCATGGCGAGAGAAGCGGCGGAGATCAAAGATATGATAAAGAGACTGGAAAGATATTTTAGTGGTGAAGTGAACGTGGGGAAGACAAGGATGATGAAGTTTTGTAAGGGGGGAGAAAAAGAACAGAAAACTGGAGATGGGAGGGAAAAGAGATCGAGGAGGTTAGGGAGTATACTTACTTGGGGTATGTGTTCAGGGAGGACAACAGGGAGGGGTCGCATGTGATAGCTATGGCAAAAAAGGCGAATAAGGTGATGGGACAAGTATGGGGTTGGGGGAAGAGAGTCTTTGGAAGGAATGTGGCAGCGAGGAAGATTATGTTTGAAGGTCTGGTTAGCAGTGTGATTATGTATGGAGCAGAGGTATGGGGATGGAGAGAGCAGGCAATGCTGGAGGACGTACAAGCTATATACTGGAGATAGGTGCTTGGGATGGCGAGAGAAACACCGGGGTATATAGTGAGGGAAGAGGTAAAGGTGGATAAAGTCAAAGTGGAGGGGGGCAGGAGAGCAGTGAAATATGAAGAAAGAATAGAAGGGAGGCCAAACTGCGGGATCTTGGGGGAGTGTTCAGATATGGGAAAGGAGACGGAGACAACTATTATAGACGAGCGGGCTACTCGGTAACTGAGATAAATAGTAGACGAAGGGTGGGTAGGGAGATGTGGAGGGAGTTGAGAGATAGGGACCGAGATATGCAGAGACAGGAAAGAAGGACACAAATAAAAGAGGGGAGGTATAACGAAAGGTACAGGGACATAATTACGGAGGGGCTGCCTAGATACTTGTTATTGGAAGGGGATGAGGAAGGGAAGAAGTTGGTGGCTAGGTTCCGTTGTGGAAGCGAGGAGAGAGCTAACAGATACTGGATGGCCGATGAGGAGAGGTGATGTAGGCTATGCAGGGAGGAATGGGAAACGTTCGAATATATGTTGAATGGGTGCAGTGAGTTGAAGGAGGAGGAGTTGGACCGAGGGCAGATCTTAGGAGAGGGGGGAGAGGGGAAACGATGGATGAGAATGGTTGTGGGGGTGAGGAGACAAAGGGATGGATGAGGGGAGGATTGGGCCGAGGATCCGAGGGTATGGAAATGGAGGAAGAGGGTAGAGGGTGAAAATAATATACTAATGACATATATTAGGATGTATTAAGGGGAAAATTGTAATTATCAAAAACAATAAAATGCTTGTTATTATTGCTGTATACATAGTCTAGTTAGAATTGAAGTGGTAGCTCTGCTAACAGTCTTAGGATCAGCACGAATAGTTTCTGCAGCATCCATAATTCTAGCTACTAGTTGTTCTCTGTTTTCAATATTTTCTGCATAAACTAAAATTTTCAGTCTTCCCCATAAAAAGTAATAAGGGATTAAAGTCTGGTGACCTTGCTGACCAAGGAACTGCTGAACCTCTTCCAATCCACCGGTAGAATTAACCTACTTTTCTTGTTGAATCAACAGCTTGTAGCTCGGTTACGATAGCGTTCCATGCATTCAGCCAGACGCAAGCTTTCATTGGAGATATAAAACATTAAAATCTATCAAACCGTACTTTAGTTATAGCAAATTTAATCAAAATTAATTTTTTTTTATTGGGGGCTAGACTCGGTGTCATTCCGAGGGCTGTACAAGGTTAACGAGAAAGAATTGAGACCGGGCATTTTATGATTTCAATAGAAGAAATTATGACGAATCCAATGCCGTATAGATCTAGATAATCGTGTACATCGTTTACGAGTTATGACCACTTAAAAAAAGTGATTTTTATGTTATTTCCGTGTACCTTCGCTATATTTTGGCATTTTAGCGGAATTTGAAAGAGATTTCGAATCGGCAATTATACATTCGTATTAGCCAAGAATTAAGCTTTCGAATGGGACATTGTTTATTAAAATCGGTTGAGTGGTTCTCTTTGGNACGACAATTGCACAATTTATCAACAATTTTTAATTATTTATTAACTATTTTTGACTTAATTATAGTTGTCAAAAATGTGACGTAAACAAAAGTATATATATGGTAGTCGCGTTTTAATCAGTTATAAAATATCACGTGTGATTTATTCAGTTGAAAAACCTAGGTAACTTTTATCCACTTAGAAATTCACGTTATTGGTCGAAATTTTAAACGATCGTTACTCTGATTGGTTGTATATTATTGGAGTGCATTAATCAAAATTAATTTTTTCTTATTGGGGGCTAGACTCGGTGTCATTCCGAGGGCTGTACAAGGTTAACTGGAGAGAATTGAGATCGGGCATTTTATGATTTCAATAGAAGAAACTATGACGAATCCAATGCCGTATAGATCTTGATAATCGGGTACATCGTTTATGAGTTATGACCACTTAAAAAAGGTGATTTTTATGTTATTTCCGTGTACCTTCGCTATATTTTGGCGTTTTAGCGGAATTTGAAAGAAATTTCGAATCGGCAATTATACACTCGCATTGGCCAAGAATTAAGCTTTCCAATGAGACTTTGTTTATCAAAATCGGTTGAGTGGTTCTCTTGTTAGAATCAAAATACTATACATGTAAAATCCTATCTAATTGGGGGCTAACTTCGCATAGGTTTCGGAACCCTCTTTGGAGCGACTGCGTAATTTACTCATTTATCAAGCATTATAGTTTCTTCGTCTATTAATGATGACTTTCTTCTTCCCAAAGCATTGTAACGAGTTTTATCGGTTTCTTTCTTTGTAGGTGGTAAGGGCTTCTTTGATACTCTTCGTTTAGATACCATCAAGGATATTTCTCAACACCACTTTGATTTTCATTTCTTCTTTGCATATATTCTTCTAAGATAACATCTTTTAGTTGTAAAAGTTTCTCTTGCCATCTTCTAAAATAATTTATTATGTTGGCGTCATAACTCAATCCTTTGCCTTTAATTAATTAATTCCTTGAAAAACGCCGTTTAGATTTAATAGAGGGGGATGTACCTCATTTAAAGTAAAAACAACAATACTATTTTCCATCAAACTAACCAAATTACCTAAAGTTTTCCCCTTGTTCGCAAAAAGAAACCGGATATACCTGTATCCGGAGATGTTTTGTTGCGGTATACATGGGTTAGAGAGACCATCCGAGGGGGTAGCAGGTAACAAAGCGCGTGAAATATTTAACGCCAGGCTAAACTAATGAAGTCCGTTGTACGCCTAATGAGATTAGAACGCGCTAGGGCGTCCCGGACTTGTCCCCTTCCTACACCCCCTCCACGAAGACCCCGCACGACGACGCGATGGTACAACTAGGTGAAGTGATCAAAGAGAAATTCAGTAAATATCGGATTCGCGTGGCCTCGGAACGAATTGAGACCGTCGACGCGGCGTAATGAGAATCGTCGCCGCTTTGTTTCTCTTTCCGTCCCCTTGTACATAATGCAGCAAACACGAGGGTGTCTCACGCGAACTTCCAACACTGTAAGCCCTAACGAAACATGACGAAACTACACCACGCCCCGCAATTTATCATTCACTATTCAAAAGAAAAGAGTAATAGAAAAAGAGATAATAGTACCTCGACGGTGTTTTCAATTTAAATTAAGAAGAATGGGTGGATATTTTCAAGAAAGTGGAAC